ACGCCGCCCAGCATGCCAGGGGCAGGGCCACCCGGAGAGCCGCCCTGCCCCATTCCCCAGGGCTCGGAGAAGGAGGCGGCAGGCCACGCACACGCGGGGAGGGAAGGGGAGGCTCACCCGGATGACATCCTGGGGCACGGCAGCCATGGCCCGGGGCAGGATGATGACCACAGCGCCCGCCGACTGCCGCAGCGCCCTCTGGTACCGCTCGTAGGAGAAGTCCACCAGCCGCATGAGCACGCAGCGACGGCTCAGCACATCCGCATCCACCGTGCGCGCCTCCGTATTGAGCACGGCGTTCCGTGTGCCTGGGGGGGGGCTCTGTTCAGTGGGCGCCGCGCCGTGCGGGGCGGGAACGGGCCCAGGCCAGGGTGCTCCCGCCAGGCCAGGCCCAGGGCGTCACCTGGGAGGCAGCTGGTGCGGACGCTCTCAGCCCACCGGTGCCCGTGGGGAACACGTGGACGCATATCTGGCCGCACCCGCGATGGCCAGCCCACCCACCCCAAGCAGGAGGCTCAGACTTGGGAATCCAGCAGGCAGGTGGGACGTCCCCAGCACTGCAGGCTATGACCAGCTTCCCCGGCCCCACCCCTTCACACCAGACCCCAGACATCCCCGATGTGGCCCGTCGTCCCAAGGGCAGCGTCCCCCAGGTGCGACTCTCAGGCCCACACCAGGGCCGGCTCAGCCTCTCTCCTGGGAGCTCGGGGAGGCCCAGCAAGGGAGGGGTGGAGGCCGAGCCTCCTGGCCGGGTCTGGCGATCCCCGCATGACCGGAGACGCCCACCGCCAGGATGTGGCCGGCTGAGGTCGGAGCTCCCAGGGGGGCTGGGTTCCCTCAGACATGAAGCCTGCGAGCCCAGCTGCCGGGAGACGCTCGAGCCGAGGGGAGACGGTGTGGCGGGAGGAAGGCGCAGGCCCCACGGGATGCCGAGCCACGTAGCCGAAACCGCAGGCGGCAGCTTGAAGGGCGATGCAGGGGCCTTGAGGCTGTCTGTCCCCGGGGGCCGGCCAGACCTGCCGGGCCGCCCTCCCTGCTCGGACACCAGACACCTGGCTGTTTCCGGCAGCCAGCCCCGAGGGCAGCCCCGGCTCCTGAGGGACAGGCCTCTGAGGGCTGGTGGGCCCCCAGCTCCGGGAGCTGGCCAGGTGCTCCCAGGGCCCCGGGCTGTGCTGGGTCTTGCTGCACCCAGCCCTGGATGCCCCGCGTGCAGGCGTGAGCTTCACGGCACTAGTGCGTCCCGTGACTGGGACGGCGCCATGAATCGGTGCCCCGGTGCCGGGAGCCTGTTGCTTCCCGCAGGGACGCAGCACGCGGCGGGCGCTTCCTGAGCGCCCGCCCAAGCCCCCGCAAATCCTGAGCCCCCAACAGTGGGCAGGGCACGGAAATCGGGGGCCGGGGGTCACGGAGTGTGGCCCCAGAGGGCCCAGCCGCAAGGGGGCCAGAGGCGACACGGTGGGGTG